TTTTCTCTTAATCTCCTCTTCCTCTTGTTTCATTTTCAATTCAGTTTCTTTTCTCTTAACTTCGTCATCCTCCTCCTCCTCCTTCTTCTTCTTCTTCTTAAATTCAGTTTCYTTTCTCTTATTTTCCTCTTCCTTCAATTTTCTCTCTAACTCAGCAGCCCTCTTTTTAATATCAACACTATCCATCCCTTCATCCTCTTTCCTCTCATCCTCCCTTTTTTCTCCAACCACCTCACGAACTGTTGATTCAATCCTTTTATGAATTATTCTCTCCTCGTATTCTTTCTTAACAATTTCGTGCACCTTAATCTTACGTATAACTTCATCCTCAATTTCATATTCTTCCTTTTTCAATTCGTCACTCTCATCCTCATCCTTTTCCTCAACGTGACTAGATTTAGATTCTTTTCCCTCATGTTCAACATCAACAGATTTATCTGAACGTTTAATTTTAACACCTTTCACATCTTTGTCAGATTTAATTGTATCCTGTTGTTGTTGTTGTTGTTGTTGGGGGGTTAATTTAACAACAGCAGGTACCTTGCTCAATTCCTTTTGTATTTGTTCTTCAAAATAATGTGCCTTTTCTGCTACAGAACATTCCGAGATATCCGGTATATTAACATTTTCCATAGTATCAGAACCCACCGATGTTACTTCAGTTATTTCTTCCTCCGATACAACATTTTGCATATACTCGCTGTCACTTTCGTTAACCGTTAATTGTGATGTCCTTGATACTTCAGATTCTGAACGTTGATAACTTTCCCTCTTCTTCGATATATCCTCCCAAAATTTTCTCTTCTCCGAATATGTTTGTTTTTCAATGCTAGGCGACAAATCGTAATCCTCATTTTGCCCTGATATTTGTTTAGTGGGATAACTAGCATCTACGGATGATTCTAGGGGATAAGAAGAAGCCGCTTTTTGTGCAAGGGATTCGTGGATAGTAGCGGCATCTAGAACAACCAAGAAATTTATGCGAATATTATTTTTCTTTATTTTTTATTATTTTATTTTTTTTTATTTTTTTCTTTTTTTCTATTTTTATTTGTCAAAACATCAATTTTATAATCAATTGGGTTACATCGTGTTTTTATTTTTTGTGTTTTCTTTGATTTGTTTTTTACAGGGGGTGTACTTTACAATTCTTCCCTCCCCCCCTTTTTTTTCTATATTCTCGTCGTTTTTTTTTACTCACTCACACACTCTCAATTTTCTATATTTTTTTTATATTTTTTGTAATTGTTATTATTATTATTTTATTTAACTATCGTCGTCTCGTGCGATACGTGTAAACATTTTTTTTTATTTTTTTAAATTGCAAAATAAAAAGCACATTATTTTCTATGTATATATATATTATTGAATTTATTCATAAACTTTTTTTGTTAACTGTACATTTAACAACCAACACCGTTATTCTATAATTAAATAATATATATATATATATATATATATATATATATATATATATATATATATATATATATATTTATTGTTTTTAACAACAAAAAACGAGAACTATTAATTAGTCATCAATTTCTATTCTTTTTTTTTTTTTTTTAACATTTAACGTGTTTATATTCTTTTAAATGTATAACGTTGTATATATATATATATTGGGATCTCTGGCAGGAGCGTGGCTTACCCTAGCGGCGAAAATATGAACTAGAGTCTGGAGGTTGCTCTGTGCATTACTTTTATAACCAAAATAGAGAACAACGTTTATAACATTATCATTGTTGTTTGTAATTAAATGAAATAAAATGAAACTTACATTGTAAGAAATTTTTAAATTTGCTTGCACAAAATCAAGCAATAAAAATTTTGTTCAGTGGTGAAAGCGTATTAAATGCTGGACATGTGACTAAGTGTGGACAAGTACCAAGTCGTGTAGTTTTAAATCAGCTTTGTCAGCAATTCGACCTAACGACTCTAGTTTTGAATTTAGCCACCAGATAGCGTATTCAAGTGCTAGAGATCCCAATCAGTGAAGCCAGATTGCGGAACATTCTACCCCTTCTCTCGAGACCGGCATGCTTCACACACAACGAAATGTTACGTGTCGGTGTGTCGGGAAACCGAAAGAATCCGAGGAAAGTCGAGATTAGCTGCGCGACAGAGGAGAAATAATACCCCCACCACGCGCCGCGGAGAATTACATGGCATAAACATATTTGAACAATGTGTAAAACAATGTGTAAAACAATGTGTATTGTGTCCATGTAATTCTCCGCGGCGCGTGGTGGGGGTATTATTTCTCCTCTGTCGCGCAGCTAATCTCGACTTTCCTCGGATTCTTTCGGTTTCCCRACACACCGACACGTAACATTTCGTTGTGTGTGAAGCATGCTGGTCTCGAGAGAAGGGGTAGAATGTTCCGCAATCTGGCTTCACTGATCCCAATATATATATTTTGTTTATATTTCTTTTTTTCGGTTTTCGTTTTTTCTTTCTCTCTTTTATAACTTGTTAACATTGACGTATATATATATATATATGCATGAAATTTGTGTTTTGTTTTTTATTTTCATTTTTTTTTTAAAGAAGTTGAAGAGATAGGTTATGTTCTGTTTATTATCCTATATTTATATTATTCCATACGGTTGTCTATGATTATGTTGACGACGGCAGTTTTTTTGCCTGCAATTATAACAAATTGATCTATAATAAAAAATGTCGCATTATTTTAATCAGCATCAAAAAGAAAAAAGAAAAAAAAATCAAAAATCAAAATTTGAAAATATAATATAATATAATATTTCTTTTTGTTTTTTTTTGTTCGAATAAAACAAAAATAATTAATACAAAATGTAATTTTAATTTTAATTATAATCTAATTGCAAAATAAAATGTCCGTCGCATTTTTTTGTCTTCATTTTCTTTTTTTTTTTTTTTTTTTTTTGGTTAGAATAAATTATGATGAGAAAAAAAAAGAAAAGGAAAGATTATTGCATAAATAAATAAATAAAACTATATTTTTATTCACGAGAACGACCAATGGAATGATATTTTCCTTTTTCCCGCCAAAAAACAACATATTTCTCAATCGTTTAGTATTAATATTATTATTATTATTATTATTCAATTATTATATTCTCAAAAATAAAATAAATTAATCAATTATTTTATACAGATATAATTTTTTGCATGGGTGCAAAAAAGAAAACTAATATAATATTAACATTTAACAATAATAGAAAAATACATTAATATACATACATATATATGTATAAATAAATTCTTATAACCCCCCACCCCAATCTCCAATGAAAACATAAGTCAAAAAAGAAATTTAAAAAATATATAAATGAAAGATATAAAATTAAAATTAAATTAACAAATAAATTTCAAACAATAATATACAATATCATAATCCTTTTTCAAAAAAAAAAAAAAAAAACAAAAAAAAAACTATTCAATTAAAAATTAAATTCATATACAGTATAATCTCACTAATCCGGCACTTCAATAGACCGATACGTCCAATAATCCGGCACTTCAATAGACCGATATTTCCAATAATCCGGCACCCACCGCCAGCGCCACCCTCGCCCCCTCTACGCCTATGCGCTCCGTTGCCGCGTCGTCATCTAGCAATCTAACCTCAAAACTTATCACTTTTTTTTCTCTATATTCCAGTAATCCGAACATTCCAATAATCCGGCACCCTCTGGTTTTTAATAGCGCCGGATTAGTGAGATTGTACTGTATATTATATAATATATCCACATATCCACATATTTCTCGTATTTGTCTGTATCTGTATCTGTGTGTGTATGTGTGTGTAGTTTTTCTTTCCCATTTTTTCTATAAATACAATTATTAATAATATTATAAATAAAATTCAATCGACATCTTCAACATCGGTATGAGAATCAGCAATATTTAAATCATCCTGATTATCCTTAACACCAAGCATGTTATCAGTTTTATTAACATTTGTCATAATTATTTGACTAGCTACTAAAACATCCAAATCATCGTATAAAACACGTTGACTAGAAGAAGCTTTTGGTATATCATCATTATCATTATCATTATCATCAGACATTTCCATATCTTCACTATCAGTATTTGGTAATGTAGTAGGGTTATCAAACGAATTATAATTTTCATTGTCATTGGATTTGAATTCCTTGGACATACGATTACGTATCTCAATTGAAAATGGTCCATCACCTTCCTTAGTTGTAATAGTTTCACCACCTAATCCATATAACAACGTATCATCCATCCTAGGTGTCAAATAAATAATTGGTTGTTCAATTATTTCATCATTTGACAAATCTTCAATGTCAGTATCAATTTGACAATTATTAATTTCATTTATTGTCAATTTTTTTCTATCATCATCCGACAATGTTTGATGATTATTATGTTGTTCAGTTTCAAGGTCACTGCTATAAATTTCATCAATGTCGGTTAAATTTTCAACGTAACTACCACACCTTGATCTGTTGATAACAGGTGTCGATGTTATCGTTAAATTTTCTTCATAATTTCGATCAGATTTATCAACATTTTCTATATCATCCATTGTTACTGAAATAATGGGACCTTTGGATAATTTAATTGGACTACCACCAGGAAGTGGTGGTGGTGGTGCTCCTGGACGACCATAATTTTCCATAATTACCAATTCACCTTCCGAATCTGTGTCGGAAAAATGCATCGATGAATTATTTATCATTGCGTTCAAACGTTTTCTCGTTGACCTTGATTTACGTTTTTGTTTCGTACAAGTAACACCACTGGCTGTTTCTTTTGATTTTGAATGAATACTTTGACATGATTTTTTCTTTACATCTTCCAAATTATTATCTAAATTGCAACATTCTTTGATTATTGTTTTTTGTTCTTCATCATGTTCGTTGATTAATTTTTGTTTGCATTTATCAACATTTTCTTCTTCCTCTTCTTCTTCTTTTTCTTGAGATTCTTTTAACGTGTTGTTTGATTTATTTTCATCGTTTATTATTTTGCATTTCATGTTGCATTCATTTTTTAAACAACATTCAGACGTTTTAACATTTTTTTCACCAATCTCACAATTGATCTCTTTCAATTCGCACAAATTGTTATCAATTTTATCGACAGACGTTTCTTCCATATTTTTATCATCAATTATTTCTTTCTCTTTGTTAACTTCAATCGTCAAACTCGTCGTTTCAGTTATAGTATCGGTTTGATCCAATTTTTCCATAATAAGTTCAATTTTTGATTCTATTTTGTGTTGCACGTATTTAAATATATATGTATATATGTATATAATAATAATAATAATAATAATAATAACTATTATAATATTATACTTTTTATTATTTTTTTTTTTCAACGTGCGTATTTTAAGTGCAAACTACTAATCAACTTAAAAAAACCTGCAACTGAAAAATCATAAAAAAAAAAAAAATAAAAAAAGAAAAATTAATACGTGGACAAAAAAAAATTAAAATGAACAACAACAACAACAACAACAACAAAGATCAAAACTCATTGTGCAAAGATAAATACAGTATTATTTTTTTTTTTTTTTATGTGAAATTATTATTCAAAAAAAACTATATAACAAAAAAATATACATGTGTGTATGTAAGAAGAAAAAAAAATGGTCTAAAGGACATTTAACCAGTTAAGTGTGACGATCTGTGCGCAGAGAGTGCGCTCTGGTGTGTGTCACGATAATCAAGCGATGACGGATATAATCGTCAAACACAGAATAAGTGGCGCTCTGTTAAAATATTGGATAGTCAAAAAGACGACTTTATTTTAGAAAATGAACTATTTTGTTAATAATCTACACACAGTTTCTTAATATGCACATATATTTATACATAACTAGCAAAACGTTGTTTTGCCATATAAATTATTACCTTATACCGCCATCTGTTAGAATTTTATCGAATTAACAGAGATAATCATAACTCTTTGTTAATAAACAAATATTGCGATTATAAATTGAGATATAAACTATCCTATCTTTCAAGTTGGAAGAAACTGCACACATTGTGCAAAATTTTACTAAAATTGGTTCAATAATTTAGGAGTCCATTGCGGACAAACAACGTGACACGTAATTTATATATATTAAGAAGATAAACGGAAAAATTAGAAAAAAAAATTGAATATTTATAGAAGTTAAAAATTTATTCTTGACTTTTACGCATGACGGATATAAAACACCAAATTTTGTCACATCTCTCATGACGGATATAATCGTCAAACACGCTTAACTGGTTAAAAAGAAGAAAAAAACAACAACAAATTGAAGGAAAGAAAAAAAATGGAAGAACTCACTCACGTTTTTTTTTTTCTTTTTTTTTTCGTAGAATTCAAATTGAGAATATTACTCAAGCATATAATATAAACATGTAAGGGTTTTGTTTTTGGGTCTTAAAGAAAGTAAAATTATTTATATAATAATATTTTGACTGTGTTCTCTCCTCGACGATTAGGTTAAAACTAAAGAAGAAAACTGTCTCAGCACCTTCCTAGAGCATTTGTTGAGACTCTTAAACGTATATAATTAAATTATGGAAGCCTCAGCACTCAATCTTTTTAAGCCATAAGTGGATTGTGACATATTTTATTATTTTTTACCTTAAATATAACAAGTTAAGATAAAAAAAAGAATACATTTTTAACAAATATACAATTAAAAATGAACAAGAAAAAAATATTATCAAATATAAATAATATTTATTTAATTAATAATAATAATAATAATTATAATTATTATTATATTTGTTAAACGTTTGATTTATAATAAACTTAAAATATGAATGTTATAGCTAGGGAGAGCCAGTGACATTTTTTTGTCAGTCATTTTAACCCTGACCATAATTTGTAGAATGTTAATTTTAGTTGCGCTTTAAAGCATAGTAACTGTCAGCTGGCGCATTAGCGGTGGGTGGGCCAACGGGAGCACCGAAAACACTTTTAAATTAAAAAAATCGTCAGCTGGCTGTATGTCGGTGGAAAAGCCGTCAACTATCCATGATGAAAACGCGTAAAAAAAAGTTTTAAGTTTATCAAATTCTTTTCTTTTTTTTTTTTTATCAACTCTATGAATTTCAGCCGGGTTAAAATGACTGAAACTCAAAATTTTTTTTAAAGTGTTTTTGGTGCTCCCGTTGGCCAACCCACCGCTAATGCGCCAGCTGACGGTCACTATACTTTAAAGCGCAACTAAATTTAACATTTTACAAATTATGGTCAGGATTAAAATTGGTCGCCAATAACTATCACTGACTTCCGGGCTATTACTTTCTTCCTATTCGTAGAAGAAAACAAAAACAAACAAATAGAAAATAATAATTATATTTTGAAACGTTTTCTTTTTTTGCACCTTGCATTGCAAAACATAAAAATCCCCCTAGTTTTTTTTTTTCCCCCAGTGATTAACTTAATTCTTATGTGTGTTAAGTATGTGAGTGTGTGTTTAAATATTTTTTTTAATTTTCTTACTTATTATAATTAACACTAGATATATACCACCATTTTCAATATATTTCTACCACACTAGTCAAAATGACTGGTGTATGTAAAAAATACTTTACGAGGCTTCCAGTTTTTATTTATTTTTACAAAATAAGAAAAAATGTTTAACAATAATAATTTTAATAGATAAATAGAACTATAGATATTTTAAAATAACAAAACGCTTAATTATTAACAGAAATCATTAAAAATGGCTGGATCTGGTATATCTAGTGTTAAATATATWTATATTATATATTTTCTATTATATTATTATATAATGTAATATATAAATAAATATATATATATATATATCGTACCTGTTTGTTCTTTCTGCAAATTATCAGCAATGAATTTTTCTTCAGATGGTGAAGTATCTTTTGGTTGATCACCTTTTTCCTTTTGTTCCATACCATATTTTGATTTGTAAAAGTCCATTTTTTGACTTATTATATTTGAATCTTCATAAGCTGCAACCGAAAAAAAACAAATTACTATAATTATAATACTTAAAAAAAATATATATACAAAATAAAAAGTTAACACAATATATAACAAGTAAAAATAAAAAGAAAAGATTTTTAACAAATACAATGAAAATGTTACCAAAAAAAAAAGCAAAAATATTATCAAATATATAAATAACATTTATTTAATTAATAATAAATAAAACAAATAAAAATATATTTCAAGTTTAATATTTCAAGTTTTATTTAAAATATTAAATTGTTCAATTGACTTAAATCCATTTTTGTTTTGTCTTTTGTTTTTTCCTCCAAGTGGAATACGTTAGTAAAGTTGACAACAAACAATTGTGTTGTCGACAAAAATGGATTTAGATCAATTTCAAAATTAATAAATTGTCTTAATAAAATATGTATCACCTGTTAATTTCTTCTGTATTTCAATTTTGGTGGTAACCTCTGGTAAAACGATATTCAACACGCAAATTGGTTGTTGCGGTGGTTCACCTTTAGCAACTTTTGGTTCACGCATAAACAACATTCTTGCAACGGGATCCAATAATGGATCTTTAACTTTAACGTGAAACGATAAACGATTTTGTCGGAATGCTTTGAATGTAAATTTCAATTGTACTCCTGATTTTGTTATTGGTGTTAGGTTACCACTGAATTCTATGTAAAGATCCTTTCCATGTAAAGCCTGAAAGGTGTAAAAAATGTTAGGGAATTTTACAACATTGAGGTGTCTTCTTCAATGTAATACTTGTCTTGATTTACTTCAGTTTACTTCAAATACAAAACCTGATCTCATCAACAAAATATTACAAAATAATAAGAAGATAATTTCAAAAATTCGTCAACAAACATAACCCCTAAATTGTCAATACTTCTTCAGAAATCTATACTTCACATTTTAGACATAATTGATAGGAATTAGGATAGGTCTAGGACTAGGAATAGGTACTAACAAAATACTAAAAAATAATAAGAATATAATCCCATCAATTGGGCAAACCTACTTAACAAACATAACCCCTAAATTGCCACTACTTCTTCAGAAATTCATAGGTCCATATTTAAGACCTAATTGGAAAAAATTAGGATAGGTCTAGGACCAGGAATAGGTACTAACAAAATACTAGGAAATAATAAGAATATAATCCCATCAATTGGTCAAACCTACTTAACAAACATAACCCTTAAATTGTCAATACTTTCTCAGAAATCCATACTTCATATTTTAGACATAATTGATAGAAATTAGGATAGATTTAAGTATAGGAATGGGTATTAACAAAATGCTAGAAAACAATAAGAAGATAATCCCACAAATTCATCAAACCCATTGAACAAACATCCAGGAATGAGTGTACTAACAAAATATTAAAAATAAGAAATGACAAAAATGAATAAAAGAAAATAAATTTTACCTCAACGTCACGACTTTTAACAATTTCTAAAAATTCTTCTTGTCTTTCCAATGTGTGCATTCCTTCTTTACCATCGGTCATGCACAATATCCTTAAAGTAGCTTCAAGAGTGTCCATTCTCTTCGAATATATTACGAAACTGTCAATTTAAAAATAGAAAAATCAATCATAGTTGAATATTTTGTTAAAAAAAAAAAAAAAAAAGAAAGATATATCCATAAGAAAAATACGTACTTCGTTATGTAAGGTACAAACAATGATTCCTTGTATAATTCTGTCGCCATTTTTGGAACTTCACTAATATTTCTACAATCCATTAACCAAAACCTAGCTGAAACTGTTGTCGTGAATGAGACACGATCGTTCATAAATGTCAATGGTGTTGAACCAGTGACATCTTCCCATTGAGCTTCACTTGTACCACCTGACAATTAATAGTTATTTAAATTTGTTCCAATTAATCACATTAAACAATACAATGACAAATAATATTTTAATATTAAATTCAAAGTAAAGTATTCAATTCACAATTACAAAACAATATTATATCATATTAACACATTGACAGCCGGCCCCGTGAAAACGCCGGGTTTCTGAGTCTGTCGCTTGAGTACCGGCCCCGCGAAAACGCCGGATTTCTGAGTTTGTCGCTTGAGTAGCTGCCCCACGATGATGTGGATTTATTTTTTTGTTGGTATGAGTGTCTTACACATCGATTTGTATTTACTTGCCATGTTTACGTTGATCTTTTTGGCTAATCAGTGATCAGAAACAAGTGAATAAGGCCGGCGTTCAGGGTTTAACACGTTCACGCCGGCGTGTACCACCGGTGGCCCGCGCTAGACTGTCCCATCGGGCGGCGCGTACCACCGGTGGTCCACCTTGGTCCAGGTTTGAACAAGCAAAAATCACGCGCCGCCAGATGAAGCGCATCTTAGATTCGAGTGCCGCCCTACAGCACAGACACTGAAAATCGGCGCCGGCGTCAACGTGTTAAGTGGCCACTACGTTACCGGCGCTCAGGCTTTAAATGTCTCTTAAGTCGCCAGCTGGTAATGTGTTGTTAAATATTGAAACAAAAATCAAGATATGTGACCAAATAATCATTATCACATAATCAATATTAATTAGTAATCAAAGAAATTAAACTAATTGATCATTTTAATAATTAATATCATAATATTTATATAACATTAGATACTATAATTGTATATAGTACCAGCAATGCTGCAAAGTAATCGTAAAGTTGGTGTTTCTCCGCCATATTGATTAATCATTCCTTTGTTTGCAGCTTGTGGCACCGGTATAGTCAAAGTTATCGGCTTKTGAAACTTTCGTCTTCTTGGCTCAATTGTAATTACCGGTGATACTGCTACGCAATTACCTAAAAGTTTAGCCGTAAGTTCTGCCGGGATGACGTGGGCCTGCGAAGAGGTAAAAACATATGTTTTTTTTTTTTAACTAGTCAATACAATGTTTGTATATTTAATAATCCCTCATGACAAACACAACCTAACTTTTTGTGGCTTCACTAGTATCTGATTTGACTAACGCTAATCTAAGTTATATATATTACTATAATATTACTATATATATTAAAAATAGAAATAAATTCGTTTTGCTTACTTGTAATCCAACTTTGATCTTTTTCGTTAATGCACCAGGTGGAAATACAGCTTGAACGTCATTTGCCACACTTGACATTAAAATACCACCCTCGGATCCTATTACATGTACCTCTTGTTTGATTCTAGTTACTATCGCAAAATATTGCGGAAAATCGGTCGTTATTATTCGTGTTATTCTACCAGAATGTGCTGCGTTCATTTGAGGATCTGTTTTTTGAATTGAATTTTTATTTTTTTTTTTTTATTTTTTTTTTTATTTTGTTAAATCAAATTATTCAATCGTATTAAAAAATAATCGTATAAATATTTAAAATATATTTTAATACCGTGTGGTGTATTTAACAAAGTATCATCGTTATCTATAGAATTATCGTGTTCCTTCCATGTTTCACCATTTTCACTTCTTAATATAATTATTTCCCTTTCTTTTCCACGAATCGATGCGAAATGTGGTATGTCGATTAAAACAGGTCTGTAAAAAAAGAAAAATAAAAAAAAAAATAATAATAATAATGAAATTTAAAGTATTTAATATTGGACATCTTTGTTTGTTTGTTTGTTTTTTTAGTTATATTTCAACGTAAAATATTATTTCATAATTATTTTAATTTTAATATTATTTCATCAAGAAATTTATTTTACCCTAAAAATGTTGCACCAACTGGACCCATTTCAATGATTCGCGTTGCCAAAGCTTCACCTTCCATCAAAGGTGGTGGATTAGCTACTTTACTAGGTTTAATTAATCTACATGTAACCCTTAATGGCATAGTTGCTCTACGGGGTGGTACGATTATTCTAACACCACTGTGTCTGCAACCCTTCATTGCACCACCACGTGCATCCACGAGGAAACTCACTAAAAATCTGTAAATATGAATTATCATAATATATATATATATAAACATATTGTTTTTATTTTCATGTAAAATTACAAATGTTAACCCTTTCGCTGCGAACAGTGCCATTTGGCGCTCGGGGTATAAACGCTTTCTCTCAGCGAACAGCGCTTTTTGGCGCTCGACTATGGACACTTCCCCTGAGCGAACACGGGCCTTGGGGCGCCGTAAATTTGATTTACGAAAGTTACGCGTATCGTGTCGTCCGTACAAACAACCTACTATTGTGCCCCGACTGCTAAGAGGGCATTTCATTTTTAAGCGCTCCGCAGCGAAAGGGTTAATATTAACATAACCTATATAGATATGTATTTATTTTTCAAATTTTTTCTATAAATTATCTACCAAATTGGGATTTACTTATTAAAAGAGGATTTACTTACGATCGGAAATGAAGTCTCCTAAAATCAAAATACATTTATTCAGTCAATTATTTTTTCTAAAGAATTACTGTATATATATATATATATATATATATATATATATATATATATATACTTCTAAAAACTACGACGGACCAATTACGAATTATTTACAAATTAAAAAATAAAATATATCTTTTTTACTCTGCAATTATTTACAACTATATAAACTAATACTAGTTTTGAATTTTATTTTCAATATGAAAATAATCTAAAGTAGCTTTTTTCAAACATGACTACATTAATATTTATTAACCCTTTGCACTCTGCTGTCTCACCGTATGAGACATTTTGATTCTAGCCTATCACTTTGATGTCTCAACGTATGAGACATTAAAGTTTATTAGTTATTACGAGGAATTAAGTTATTTCAGCACAACTTTTTGACACATGCATGTTTCCCTGATGTTTTCTCTTAAAATAGCACAAGACATCTAATCAAAATATAGTCAAATAACAAAGATATATAATAAAAATTGTCAGCRGGTTTTGTGTTCTAAGAGAATGCGAGACGCGTGTTTACGACGGATCCGAGAACTTTTTGACGAAACTTGAGAAAAGCGATAAGAAGAATTTGTAGAAGAAATGTTTTTATARAAGCATATCTCGCATTTTATAATGAGATTTATAATGTACAAAGAAATATTATCAAATAGTGTCACATTTCAAATACAATGTAACGCGGTCGCCCTTTTTTTTCAATTGCAACGCTATTACACACATACATTCTCTTGATAAATAAGTTCTTTTGGTAAAAGTTCTTTAGGTAAATATGTTCCTTGATGTTTACAGATTAATATAAGTTCAATATCATTAGAATCCGTTACTTGGTTCGAAAGTTATACTAAATAATACGAGGGTCTGTAAATGTGCCATTTCTGTGGCGCGGTGTAGCTGCTACTTCAACGTCGAGAATCGTGCGAAGTGCAAAGGGTTAATATAATTTCCATTATATGAAAAAATATATAGTAATTAATTTTTTACTTACCCTAAATTCAATGCGTCATTACTGTCAAAGTTTTCTGCCAAGCAATAATTATTACTTTGAACGAATTCTTGTTTTTCTTCTTTAGTAACTAAAAATAAAAAATAGATCATGTTTTAATAAGCTCTGATTATAACATATATATGTAAGATTCGTGAAAAAAAAACTGGACCGCTGGACTGACTGGACCGGGACTCGAACCACGGATCCTTCGCTTTCCGGGCGACTGCTCTTTAACCAATTGAGCTATCCAGGGCCCACCGACCAGTTCCCTTCCACGAATGCTTATCAAGTTTGGCATGGAGACGTTCGTCCCACATTCCACCCCCCTACAACAACAACATTCGACCCCGAATGTTCCGTCATAACCACCCCTCCCTTGGTGACACCTTCGTTACTCGCTACGTCTCTACTCGTTACGTCTTTACTCGTTACGTCTTTACTCGTTCCGAACACGTTGCCGAGGCTCCGTAAGACCGTCTTGTCTAGTTCCTCGGCCAACCGTTCGCGTCGCCACTATCGGCCAAACTCTTTAACTCTTTTGAAATTATTTATAAATAATTTCTTCTCGTGGCGTTGTAAGACTGTGGAACATGCTACGAAACAGACCTCCATCCCGGACGAGCCCCCAAATGTAAGATTCGTGAAAAAAAACTGAACCGCTGGACTGACTGGACTGACTAGACCGGGACTCGAACCACGGATCTTTCGCTTTCCGGGCGACTGCTCTTTAACCAATTGAGCTATCCAGGGCCCACCGACCAGTTCCCTTCCACGAATGCTTATCAAGTTTGGCATGGAGGCGTTCGTCCCACATATATATCAGGTAGACCGGAAAGTAATGTCGCTTTTTAACCACTTCGGGGTGGCTGGGACCCACCCACCCCGGGGACCACTACAAACTAGTTTTCCTTCCCCGAGACTAACAGCTAATAATAATAATAATATATATATATATATATATGTTATATATGACCTACTTTGTCTATGTATTGGATCATCTTTAGTAACATCGATTGGCAATGAATCATCTCTTAAACTTTTCATTAAATCCGCTGTAAGATATTTGTATGGTTGTTCGCTGATCAACGCATCGGAAGCTAAACAAAACACGTAAATTAAATTAATTAACGAATAATATTAATTAGAATTACTAGGAATGGGATGGAAAAGGGGTTTAGTTAGGACGAAAAAAAAATAGAAAATTGTTATAAGTGTAATATTATTATTATTATTCTTACCACCCTCGTCATCGGAATCAGACATCAGACTTGTTTCTTGCAAACTTTCCGGTGCTATTACTTTGTATTTTTCTTCCCAATTTTTATTGTCAGGTGCTGCTAAATTGTCATAAGGCATTCCTTTTAATACTTCCATTACCGATATATATCCTAATTTTTGAGCAATATTTAATGCTGTCAAGCCATCCTAAAAAAAACAAAACAGTTAAACAAACAAACAAATATAATATCATTAAAAAAAAAAAAAATCATCAAACACAACCAACAAACTTGAAAATAAATCGATAAAAATTGAATCACATGTCTGACTCGTGTGGTTATTTTCTAAACACGTGTCAGCCATGTTGTTTTTAAGATAAAAAAAAGGGTTAAATATATGAATATGAAGAAACCAGTAGATATAAAGAATTATTTGTTAACCAGTTAAGTGTGGCGATGATTTGTGCGCAGAGAGTGCGCTCTGGTGTGTATCGCGGTAATCAAGCGATGACGGATATAGTCGTCAAACACGCTTAACTGGTTAAGCAAGTTTGTGTACTTACATTTGTACGTGCTTTATGCGATGCATTTCCTTCTAAAAGTGCGCTAACAACGTGAGCATGACCCTGTTGTGCAGCCTGATGCAAGGGTGTATAATTTTGTGCCGTTCTAACATCAATTTCAGCATTGTGTTTTAATAAAAATCTTATCATCGAGAGATTTCCAAAATGTGCTGCAACGTGAATCGGTCTGTAACCAGTTTCGGTTTGACTTTCAACATTGGCATCATTTTTAACGAGAATCGATGCAACTCTGACGAAATCTTCTTGAGCACATAAGTGCAATGCTGTTAAACCATTCTAAAAACAAACAAAAAGAAAATAATTCATTCAATATGTTAAGGTGTATCAAAAGTTCTTGTGTGTATGTGTGTGTGTGTTTTTTTTTCTAAATTAACATATCAAAAGTAACAAATTTACAATAACAATAATTCATTATGCAATTTCAATCTGCTTAAATTTAAACACAATAAATGTACGAATTTTTGATTCATCTTAACACGTTGGCTGCCATGGGGCAGCGCCGTAGGGGCCACCGATGACCAGCGACGCATAATGAAAAATTCATGTTGGCGCCTTGGGCAAGTCACGTAAAATTCGCGCGAGCAGCCAACGTGTTAATTATAATACTATAATTATTATTATTATTGTTAATTTGTTTAAAAAAAAAAGAAGAAATAATAATAATAATTACCTTAGCTTTGTGATTTGGATCAGCCCCGTGTTCAATAAGTAAATTCGTCATATCGTAATGGCCCTTTTGCGAGCTCAAATGTAATGGGGTAAATCCTGCTTTAGATTCGGCATTAGCATTCGCTCCGCCTTCTAACAGAGTTGAAGCAATGTCCATCTATATTAAATGAAAAATATATATTCATATGTGGGACGAACGTCTCCATGCCAAACTTGATAAGCATTCGTGGAAAGGAACTGGTCGGTGGGGCCCTGGATAGCTCAATTGGTTAAAGAGCAGTCGCCCGGAAAGCGAAAGATCTGTGTTTCGAGTCCCAGTCCAGTCAGTCCAGCGGTCCAGTTTTTTTTTCACGAATCTTACATATATATATTTAGTTAAATATTATTATTATTATTATTATTATAATACCTGATTTTTACGAGCAGCAATGTGCAAAGGTGTATGTCCGTTTTGTGATGCAAGATGTGGGGATGCACCCTTCTCCAATAAAAGATTTGCAACATTTGGATGATCGTAATGGCAAGCCAAATGCAACGGTGTAATATCGTTCTAAAAATGATTAATTAATTAATAAATTAATAAATTTTCTATACATGTAATATATAATATAGAAACTAAATTATAACCCCATTCGTTTAATCATATGTTTTAAAAATATATATATATATATATATTAATTTAGTAATAGTATATAATAATTTAGAGTAATAGTTATAAATATATATATAACTATATACATATATTTAAATACAAACTAATACAATTATAAGTTTAATATGAATAAAATGAATCCCACCGTAACAAAGTTGACCACCAAAGTTGAATTCTCAATGTTGAATTTAAAAAATAATTAAAACGTTACATGTAGATATAATTTATAACGATTTCTATTTTTTTTTTTTTGAGGGTGACGAAGTTAAAGGGGTGGTTTCGTTATTCATTACATTCTATTTTCATAATGAAATATTTAAAAAAATGAATTGTCTCATTTGTGCTAACCTTTCCTTGTGCATCAAGTTTGCTGTCCTTTTGCAAAAGTATCTTTGCCACGTTCATATTGCCATACTTGGCAGCTATGTGAAGTGGAGTAAAACCATTTTTCGTTGTTGCTTTTACAGATGCATTATTTTCCACTAGAATTGCAGCTACCTGTTTATCATAAAGTTTCTCTTGTTATATTAATAATTATAAATATATATATATATATAACTATAGATATGAAATGATGATACAATTACGTTTATAATATATCACCTGATACAAATAACTTGATTTATACATATATATATATATATATATATACATCAAATATTACAGTTGGTTATTTCTTAATTGCAATTGAATATAATTTGTAATGTGCATCAAATATTAAAATTGGTTGCCTACTAATTACAATTAAAAAGAATTATTTAATAATTATAAAAATATATATATATATATATATTATTATTATTAAAGTTGGTTATCTTTTAATTGCAATTAGAAATAATTTAGTATAAATATATAATATAATATATAGTTATAAATATATGTAGCTATATACATATATTTAAATACAAACTAATACAATTATAAGTTTATAGTATATCACCTAATATAAATTATTTAATTTTTATATATATATATATATATATGTATCAAATATTAATATAGGTTATCTCTTAATTGCAATTAGAAATAATTTAGTAATAGTTATAAATGTATATAGCTATATACATATATTTAAATACAAACTAATACAATTATAAGTTTATAATATATCACCTGATATAAATTATTTGATTTATATATATTTGTATCAAATATTAATATAGGTTATCTCATAATTGCAATTAAAAATAAATTTTTAATAATTATAAATATATATATAGCTATATATACAAACTAATACAATAATATGTTTACAATATTCGACCTAATATAAATAATTTCATTTATATATATATATATATGCATCAAATATTAAAATTTGATTATCATTTTAATTGCAATTAGAAATAATTGCTTACCTATTATTGCATAATGAAGATAAATCAGTTGACTAATGACGTATATACAGTACATAACAAGAATTACGTTAATTCTAATTTTTAATATAAATACATTGTGCAATAACGTTAATTTTTATAATATATAAAATCACCTACATTGGAGAATGATATGAAATTTATCTTAAAAAGAAAAATTTGCAAAAAAAATGACTTATTTAATGCGAGTGAAATTGAATGAAAAAAAAAAAAAAAAGAAGAGGGACAAACAAAAAATAAAACAAAAACTTTTACACAGCCAACACGTTTTAACTATAATAATCATATGCACGAATTAAGTATTATATAATAAAAAAAAAAAGACAAGAGAAAAGAAAGAAATGTTTAACAACACATATATATACATATATGTATGTATAATATTTATGTATGTGCATACGTTTGTACCATAAAAATAAATTTGAAAAAAATATTCATTTCTCTTCTGTGTCGTACTTCTTAATATTCACTTTGAAATATTAAAATCGTTAATTAGTAGCATAAAATAAAAATATTATTTACATAACATAACATTATGTACATATAATATACATACAATTATATATACATACATACATACATCTAACACATACTAATTATACTATATTGAAAATAATATATTAACACGTTCGTCGCCCAGAGCCCGTTTCAGTTGAAACGGCTCTGGCCCAAATTCGGCCATATTCGGCCCCCGCCAGGCCCAACATTCGATTGTCGACGCGCCGTAACGTAAAGAAGCGATAAATAGAAATATCAACAATGCACACAACCCGAGTATTATGGTTATATTATATTATTATATTTTATTTACCAACAATAATTATGTTTCGAAATGGGAAATGTGAAAGGTTTTTCCAACTAAAAATACTAGAACTTCAACAAGAAGAGCGTCACCGTATACGGTGACGGGGCTCCCGGAGAAGCATGCCCGTTTTCGGTATACGGTGCCATGGGGACGAACGTGTTAAGTGAACCGAAAAGTAATGTCACTTTTTAACCTCAAATTCATAGGAATACATTTGTTTGTTCTAACGAATTTTTATTTTTAATCAATAATGTAAATTACTTTCGTTGTCAACAAATCTTTTTTGAAGTGAAAACTTCTTTAGAATGGGTGTGATTTGAAACAATGTAACGGAGTGGTAGGCGGCTATGTAACGGAACGGTAGGCGGCTATGTAACGGAGCGGTGAGAAACAATGAAACGACCGCGATACTAAATGAGAAGAGAATACAATTATCCAACACCAGATATTTTGTATTCGTCTCATTCTCTCGAAACTTAGTTTTATTGAAGATTTCACTTCTAACACGTGTGATCTGCACACATGTTTTTTTCATCTAATATGTAAATTTTTAATGCCAATCGTAGAAACGACATTACTTTCCGGCACTTTTTTTTCTTTTTTTGAAGTGAAAACTTCTTTAGAATGGGTGTGATTTGAAAAAATGTAACGGAGTTGTAGGCGGCTATGTAACGGAGCGGTAGGCGGCTATGTAACGGAGCGGTAGGCGGCTATGTAACGGAGCGGT